ATGGGGATAGTTTTTAAAAATCTGATTTCCCATAATATTTACCTACACATAAAGTAGAACCACCTCCATACTCCAAAAATACGTTTTCATCTGCTATTAAGAAAAACTAAAAAGCTAACTTGTTCCCTGTTAGCTGATCCAACAGGCTCAGTAATGTTTCAGAAAATATCATGGGGATTTTTTCAAGCTTTGAGTGAGCATTCAATAGTGACAAACAGGCATGACAGAGACACAGGACCAAGCCTTATCTTCTTCCTTGGAATGCTCCATCTACAGTTGAACCTGTAGTATTAACCCACAACCCTTCAATCTTCTGACTACTCATGCCTCTGAATTGCTGTTACTTTCACACATGTAAGTAATTTCGACATTTTTTACAGAGTATTTAAAAATGGAAACATACCAAAACAAAACTGTATGCAGGCACTCAGATGACTGGGACTATATATTATGCTCCTTAGGTTTTACATTTTATTTACAGTATCTCAGTTTAAATGGAATGTCTTCTATAATTGCTCTTTAAGGTAACATTGATTTTAGTTATTTACTCAAACCTGCAAATATAGTAAAACTTAATTTTGATGTGTATTAGTGTATATACTACAGAATATAAATTTGATAGATTTATTTTATTTTTGCAGAGTAGTAAAAACCAGAATTGAATCTGGTAAATACCAGAACTATTGAGTACAGAATAAATTTTCACCACTGCAACTCAGATTCGGCTCCACTGGAAACCAGAGTGCTAGAAGTACTAGAACAGATCAAGCATTGGCAATCCCCAGACTCCTAAATAAATGTTAAAACTTGCTTCAAAAAAGATTATTTGAAGAGGTTTGTATTTTTCAAGACAAGTTCAAGTTCATCTGGAACATCTTTGAGATTAATGTCACCTTGCCTATGGTTACATTTCTTGCTGGATTTGCTGTCTTCCAATCATCCCTTCAGGACTTGCAAAAAAAGTCCCAACCCTCCCCCAAACAAAACTGAAAAAGGGATCGAACTCTGGTACAATATTTTCTTACACTTGCAGTTTCACAAATTTTATGCCCAACTTAACTAAAATGCTCCACTACTGCAGGAAAATGAGTAAAAGTCTGTCTTTTATCTACCTCAATTCCCTCCCAGGTAAGTTCCAGTTCTGCTGTTTGTAAATCAATCTTACTTTAGCTTAATGGGGTTTAAAAACAAGTATTTGAGAAAGGTCACTTACATTGTTCAGCAGTGTGTGAGAGACCGAAATGTCATATGACTGTCTCAAAGTTTGCCTGTGTCTGTGCAATTTTTTTTTTCTCTCTCCAAGAGAAGCTGCTGCAGCCTGTGAATTGCTCTGGGGGATGTCGCCCAGAGAAGTGGGAGTGTATTGAAGGATGCACCCCCCCCACTTCTTTGCGCTTGCATTGTCGGACTCTTTAGACAAGCCTCAAAGGGGCAGAGGTGTGCTGAGCTGGCCCCATCCTGCAGCCCTCTGTGGCTCTGTTGTGCAGGCCAGACCCCATGCCTGCATTGCTAATGAACTGACAAGAGGCAAACGTTCCTGCCCAGAAGCCAGATGCAACAGAACCTGTGGGAGCAGAGAGAAAAAAACCTAAACGTGGCCAGATATGCTAACCAGCAGATACGATGAACTTAAAAAGGCAGCAGAAAATTTTGCTCAGGGTGCATCCACCATCGAAGCCAGATCCGTGTGCACCCACCACCGAAGAACTGAAGACTGAGGACCAACGGGATGCTGCTGGATCCACGGTGGTGACTATTCTTGCAGCCCCATCCTGCATCTTTGCCTGATATCTGTCTTTTTCTTCCATTCTGCCTATTGCTACCCCTCTTCACTTTTTTAGTAATAAAAACCTGTTCTGAGTATATGGCATTTGACCTCCTTTGTGTCTTAATTTTGCTCTTGGGATCCTATCGAAACCTCTCCTGAGATTGGATCTGGACACAGTGCTTGGCATGAGCAGACTGAAGTCTTAAATACACTCACTGAGCAGGAAGCAAGTTCAATCAACTCTCCTCCTTAGTAAGGATTTATCAGTCTAATTCAGAAATTACAAAGCATAACCTAGACACAACTTAATTTAAATTTCCTCAAAGGTAAAGTAATAATATTACAGTGGTTGATTAATGAAATAGGTTGTGTTTTAATCTAGGAAATTCCTAATTGTCCTTAGTGCTAAAATAAGTCTATCCAACAGGAGTCAAGCAGGCAGGTAGATTTCTTGAAATACATCTGCAATTATATAATACTGTGGTCACCATTAACTGAATATATTTTAATAACCCCACCAAAATATTCAATCACAAAAAATCATGGTAGACCTATATGGCACACCTCACCTACCCCACTCCTCAGCAGGGCTAATGAGCCCAAGAAGCCTGTACTGCTGTATCCTGTACACTAGCTCAAGGCAGCTCATTCACAACTAGCTTGTGTTTCTCTGTACAGCATTGTAGTGTGTCATGTAAACATATCCTTAGAGAAACAAAGGCAGTTTACCAAGAGAGCACAGACTCCACAGCATTCACCAAAACTAGTGTATGTCCTATGTGAATCATGTAACACTTGTATGACACACCAACGGCCACACAGTGGACACTGGTGAACATCCAACAGTTTAATGAGCACACAGATGAACTCATATATATACTATAAGACCCCCAAAACAGAGCACTGAATGAAATGAGATACCTGTATCCTGAGAGAACCTCGCTTTGTGCTAGCTTCAGAACGTAAGTCCTCCCTCTCATTTACTTCAGGATAGAACAGATTTGACCATGGCTATATAAAATTCTTAGCTTCTTTATACATAATTAATCATCCCTCAGTAAGCAGAAAACTTAGGCTGATTTATTTCGCATTCTATAGCACCATAAATACATGTACCCATGTGTACATGCATGTACACATGTCAACACCGTATATATCTACTTCACATGATCCCTACTTGTTTTAATGACATAGAAACATTTTCTCCAAACCAAATCTCAGAAAGTGCCTGGCTGTGGAACAATTACATCCTCCATTCTATTTTGGAAAATGTAGATAAGTTCTATAATATCTCGTGACGTATCACATACCTGGTCACAGTTTGTTAATAGACTTCTCCAAGCATTTCAGAGATAAAACCAAAAAAATCCATCCTTAAGAAACCCTTTGCCCACTAGGATTAGATTTATATGACATATTATATGCCCATTTAATAATTCTCAAGAACCCCTTCTAAAACCAGGATATAATTAAACCAAATATATTTTTATAGCCCGCCTATAACCTCTTTAAAAAACAGATTTACAGCACATCTTAAGCATTAAGTTTTAATGTCATAAATAGCAAGATATCACTGTTTTCAAAGCCCTTTAAAGTAATTATCTGACTTCAAGACATAGGAAAACAGATATGTAGCTGTTTCATAGAAACAGACGTAAAGCCACATAATGTTATAATGAGGGATATATTTAGTGCTTGCTGAAAGCATCTTAACTGCTGTTTTCCTGTATCTGTATAGCTGGCACTCAATTTTTTACTGTTTTTCCAGAATCGTCCCCAACCGTGAATCCTTTACACTACATAAACTAAAGCTATTTTTAGTGATTGTCAGATTTGAAAACTACAAATCTCTGTAGTTACTGCATCTTCCTCTTCTTGCACACAATCTCTCAATTAAAAATAATGTGTCCCCAGAGAACTTTGAAGAAGAGGCTGAATTAACAAACTGTTTAAGTGAACCAGAAGCAAGCCAATCCCTTAAGAACACAGAGTCTGTAATTAGCTAAAATGCTCCATTTTCTGTTCACAGTGAGGCTGAGGCTCAATAAAAATTAAACACTGATGCAGGCAAGGCATTCCCATGGGGCTCACATATATTAATACATTACTACTCACCAGTTGCTTTATGTCAAAGAAACTGGGACACAGCTTGAAATTGGCTGGCTGCCTATTTGTTAAAATGGAAAGCTACTTGTGACAAGTATTTTCTTTTATTTTCATACCTCTAGTCTCACAAACAGGCTAAGTAAGTTCTTAAATGTGGCTCCAAAGAGTGACATGCTCATAACAGTGCCAAACAGATAGGACTCAGGTTCTGACGAACCAGAGAAGGTCACTTCATAGATTCTGCATCGAGTCACAGCTACGTCTTTGCATCACCCCAAACCAATAATCCCCTAGCACTGGCTTTCCCAAAACCTGTAAGGATGAGGCCACCAGTTTTTTAAAACCGTATCTCAATTTAGTTCTTAGGATGCAGTCAGCAGTCTACACTTCAGTAGTGACCTTTGTAAGCAAAAATGAAGAATCATTTGGATGGCTCCATTACTATGCTGTGGAAGGCAATTTATAGAGACTTACATATATGTAATGAAATAGTTTGGAATTATGGTTATTTTGACTTTAATGGGACAGAGTCAGGAGAACAATGAGTGTTTATGAAAACCCTCTTCCAAGCTACAGATGAGTAAAACCCATGAATGTATCAATCCTACAACTTAAAAGTTACTCCAAATCCCTCAGAAACTCAGGCATTCAGCATCTCTCGTGTCAAGTTATAATAACTGTATCAACTAATTCAGACAATTAAAAGACAATTAAACATTAAATATGTAGCTAATAAAATGTTTAGTTTATCAAATAGTAAGCCACTGTTAAAAAAAGGGTATTTTTAAAACCCATACTACCACAATATGATCTGCTGATAGGGCTATAAAAAGCACCTCAAGCTGCAACTGCAAAACGAGTTACCACCTTTGAAAAACATGTTCTAAAATGATGGCTGATGTTCTGAAGCTTCAGTTCCTATCCAGAAGTCCTCTATTATGTTAACCTTTTATAATTTGTCTTACTCTGTCCTTTCAAGGTCATCATGACTTCCACCTTCTGCAGTAGAAACCAGCCTTTCGTGAATGGAGTGTGAGGATCATTCAAAGAGAAAATGAATGCACATCACCACTGGATGGTTTTAATTCTCATAAACTTCACGAATCCTAGGCTACTTTATGCTCACCTTTCGCAGGAGGAAGCAAATACGCTCAATATTTCTCAGTCGCTCTCTCTGTCAAGAAAAAGTAACAAAAAAGGTAGATTAGCTGGTGCTATGAATTAAAGACAGTTAATTACAATTACAATGGGTCAAGATCATAATTAATGGCTGCAGGGAAGCCACACATTATTAATCTAAAACATGAGTTCTCACTTCTTACCTAATGCTTGCAAGCCAAATTATTTACACATTTCAAAGTCCCAATAAGTTATTTTTTCACCTGTTACTGGGTGCCACAATAGAAACTGGGAATTCAAATCTGTGTTAGCCTTGAGCTAGAGGTTGCAACGCCTTTTAAGTCAGCATTTGTGACCTCTATCCAATGGTGCCAATCTAAACCACAGATACGCAGTCTTGCATTTTCAGATTCACAACCTCTGGCTTCAAGATGATTCTGAATGGGAAAAACAACTACAAAGTTAGTATGGCAGCCCTTTATCGATCACTAAGAGGGTGTCTGAGCAACATGATATTAGAATTTAACCCATTAGTTAGGAATATATGAAATGTCCTAGAAATGCCACTTTAAACAAGAGATGCATACATAAATACTGAAAGTCTCTGTAATTAAGCACTGTGACTAAAAAGATGCTTTAAGTTTTATTCACAGAAAGATGACAAGTCAAAGACAGGTTTTCTTTTAAATGGCTCATAATGAGAAATTCACTAGAAAAATCAGATTTCATTCTGTATAACCCCATTACTGGAGTTACTGAGAAAGATTCTACCATTGGTTACACTGCAGAAGGCCCAGTGGTTTTGTTGTCCTTGTTAAGACTTATCTGGCAATATTTTTATTTAGACATGGGAAAAAATATTCTGAACAATGACCTTTTAAACAGGTAACATATCAATGTGAGAAGCTAAGTCTCCCTAAGCTTTTTGCTTTTCAAGTGTCTTAAATTTGCTCCAAGCTTGATTTTTATTTCTATTTTCCAAAGAAATGTCTCTTTTCCTTTCCTGTCCCCAAGTTTAAGCCATTTTAAAAAAAAAGTATCCTTTTGGAAAGACAACGAGACAGTGGCAGCTTGATAGGCACAAGACAAATATTGTGCCTCTATCTGGTATCCATGACCTAAAAGGGATTCAGAAATTTTAAACTCATGGTTGAAAACATGAGAAAGGATGTGTATGCATGTGCCTGTGAAGTTGCAGAAAACTTTCTTGCCTTTAGTAGGAGGAAAGTGGGGAGGGAAAGATAATCCTCTCAAGTCCCTTTAGAAGACAGATGCCTACAGCTGGCCTTGGACAAGTAGGAAGCCTATCTTTGAACTGTAGGTAACAGAGTGTAAACCAGGAAATTTGAATTAAATTCTCAGTACTGCCATTGTTTTTGCCTGCAATGCTCCTTAATTCAGCCTTCTCTTGTCAAAAAGGCTCTTTGTCATTAAAACATTGTGGAAGATACACGAGTGAAAGTCAGACATTCTTATACTGCAGTAAAGAAAACTATTCCACCAAATAAATGGAAGATGAGCACGAGCAACTATGCACATGGAAAAAGGAAAATATACTTGACCAAATATATTAGAAATAAGGAATACCTGCTAAAAATCTTCCTTTTATGTCAATACAAAAGGCATCAACGTGTATACCGTGCAGATGAAAGCAATCTGAGATTATTGCTTGAGTTAGCACAGAAAGTTTCATAGAAGAGAGTCAAATATGTCAACTGATCACAGAATACTTTGCTGTGTTTTACTGGAAACTCTACAATTAACTTTTTGATTCCACCACTAACATGACTGAAACAGGGACCTATTAACATTTTTATCCTGGAGACTAATTCCATTACCATTTTAAAGTAAGAGGAAATTATCTGCATGGAGCATCTTATAAGTTTTGGGAAAAGAACAAATTATTGGAATTTGGTACATATAAATACACATTTCTTGTGCATAGTTCTCAAGATGGGAAGTAAAAACAGATAAAGTGAATTCAAAACCAGATTACTTCCACTGAAGTCCTCTATAGGATTTCTTTATACAGTTTCTTTCTTTTGTTCTCATTCTTTGCTTATGTGTTAGTGAACAGGAAACAAGTCTTATTCAAAGATTCACGTGAAGATTACGCTTAAAACTGTCCATGGTCCAAGCAGTACCACAAATCCTCTGCTGAGTTATGAAACAAGGTCAAATGGCAAAGTACTAGCTACTGAATTACGTTATCATTTGTAGGCAATTCAATAACTTGATACTCTGTAGAGATCAAATTCAGCACCCGTCATAATCGTAATTCCCAGTGAGATGACAGGGAGCCAAGTTCTGCTCTCAATTCTGGTGGCACAAATCTGAGGCATGTTTAGCCGTAGCCAGCTAAATCACCCTAGATTACCACTTTAATTAACAGAGGAATATTCACATGCTTAAATCTGGGTTGCATTTGAGTTCATTAGGTAAAACTGAGTTTACAGTCCCAGGGTGATATTTAACCTTTTCTACAGCAGATGCAGCAGAATGTGTTATTTACTCTTAAAGCACAACAGAAAATAGAGCCCTGACATGGGACAGACAGGTCTAGGAATGCACTTCTTTTCAAATCCCTTCAAGCTTTTGTCTCACTGATACAGACAGTATGAGAGAAGGTGGTCATCCCATACTTGAACGCAGAGAAAGCAAATTATTTCAAAAATGAAAACTTGTGCCACAGAATGAAAAGATAAAAAGAAAGCATTAGCATCACATTATATATATCCTTCAGTTTTGAACTTCCAAAATATTTTCCTGCCTCCTTCAGCAGAAAGGAAAGCTATTAGCATAATAGTCAACATCTGGCTTCCTAAGACTGGCCCAATAAATCAATTATCCAAAATACAGTTGACTTTGCAACAGACTGTACATTCATTTCCATACCCATACTTTCATGGACAGCTCTGGGCATCTCCCTTTCTTTAGTAGCTGCTGCTTAGTGAGCCACTCATACTTACTGCGTGGACTGGGTTGCACTGATCTATTGGGCTTTTGAAGTCTGTCCGAAGTTCATCAAAGGCGATTATCTGAAAAACATTTTTTTTCAAATATTGTCATGAATACGCATTCAAACACTTATTCTTTAGGGATTTCTTTAGGGACTAGTTAGATGCATCACCTCCCTTCCTCACTTTCCAGACAAAAGATGGGAAACTAGCTTCCATGACATGCTTCTTTCAGAACTAACTAGTTAAAACAAAACGTGGGATACTCCTACATATGATACCTAGAATCCATTAATCTGTCACTCTGTAAAATTGTATCTATAGCCTTTCCAGCATTGTTGCTTTCCAGACTTCTTTCCTCATATCAGCTAGAACTCTTTTCTCAGACTTCCAAATGACATAAAACTATTTCACAGATACATCTCCAGGGTTGATGGAAAAAATCATTAGCTCTCTAAAACACACAGATGAATCAGATACGCTATTCCAGGTTTAATATGTACACAACCACCCCTTTTTAGTAGTTGTTAAACCTACTTCAGATATTAATTCTGAATTAGTATCAACTTAATTATTATTAAGCCACTATTCATTACCAAGCAAACTCCTCAAAAGGTAAACCACTCTAGAGCAAAACATGCCCTTCCTGAATTCTGGCAGGTTTTAGAACCTTAGTTCAGACCTCATTAATGGAGGGATGTCTGTTGCTCATGCCTTTTAGTTTCCTCTATTAACTGATGGATTGAGACACACTGATAATTACTGTCTGCTTTTAAAGTACGGCAGATAAAAGTGCCCATAAAACTAATAATGTTTGATAATGTTTCCCTGGAAAGAAAATAGCTGTAATAACCTTCAGCATATTTCATTTAAAGATCTCAAAGCATGTTCTTAACTTTATGTTTGTATTCTAGTAATTCTGCTTGCTTCACCCAAGGAATGAAAGCTCACTATGACAGGCACCACATAAATAGATGTTAAAACAATAATTCCTTTTTAGACAACTTAGAATCCAGGAAAGTATTTGTTCTCAATAAAAAGATGATGGAAGTACAAGGTAGCAGTTGGGTAATTAGTATATGAGTGCAACAACCATTTTATGACATGTTACAGCATGCCTGCTGCCTAGCTGTTCAAAAAATAACCAACTGGGTATCAACACAGACCTGTTGTACAGATAAAACACATTCATTTGACATATATGGAATGCAGGAGCAGAAATCCTGAAAATGGTCTATCCGTGATTCATATAATAATCTGGTGAGAGGCTTGAGAATAAAACCTAGAGCTACAATCCACAAATCTAAGCACTACTCCTCATCCCACTCTAATGCTGCATTCATCACACTGAAGCACATTTAAAATCAAAAGTGTGGCATTTTACAAGAGCACTCTACAGAATTCAATTTATTCAACTATGACAAGTCAAAGTGCCAGGATAAACCACAAAGGGAACTATAAAGCATGATTATAAGTGAAGCATTTCTCCCCATGGATGCAGTACCTCTACAAGTTAGAAATTAGATCTGCAACGATGTTTAGACTAAGGTAAAAGAGCAAATAACAGAACCTGTTATTTGGGTCAGAGTACAGTTATGAAGAATAAGACTCATGACACCTCTGTATTTAATACTTCTTGAACAGATCTTCATACTCTCAAGTTGGGCCAACTGCTAAGAGGGTAACAACCATGCCAGAGAGACTCACACGTTTCTGTTTGTAACTGGGTATTGAGATCGGCACTGACAGCACTGACAGAAAGGTGGAAGGATCGTCCTGTAACAGGTAAGAGAGCTGCCTCTGCTCATAGCTGTGCCACTGACTTACTTTGGGATCTTGTGCATCTCCCTTAAATTCTCTTTGCTTCACTGCACTGGTACTTACAGACATAGCTTTAAGATAGAAAACTGTTATGAGCTTTGAGTGACAACTATTTTTAAGAATGTACAGTGGTAACAGCTTTTTTTCTGTTGTAAATGAGCTGAAATTTCCTTGGGGGGTAGGGGGGAAAGTGAATGTGCTATGCTTTTCCTTTTGGTAGTCAGTAACAGCAACCAGGAGTTTGAGATCATCATTAAATGACAGCCAGTACAAGATCCAGCTCATGCTGTGCAGAAAGACTGGTCTGAGACAACAACATGGGGAACCTGAATACCGGAATCATAAGATGGAGGCCCTCCAAAGAAGTCCAGGAAAACCTCTAAAGGTCCACTGAACACAGAGATAAGATGATAATGCTGCAGCATGTTGAGATGAAGAACTAGGTTGCTCTGAAAGACAGAACTATTAAGGCAGAGCTCTGTTGAGCTAGCCTTAACTAATGCAGCTAAGTCTTGAATAAATCCTAAATGACAGTTTGGAAAAGAGATTAGCCTCAAATATACTACACATTGAGATTTCCCCATTTTTTGCTTTCTCTCTCTGGTGGTTTTTTTTTGGTTTTTTTTTTTCCTCCAGCATTCCCAGCTCCGTAGTCAAGAACCTACTCTTTATTTGCTGGCACATCATTTATTTTATGTTGTTTTATGCATTATATCTAAGTGCACTGAAACAAATCTGACAGTATTAAGCACATCATTTTCATGGAACCAGTGAGTGTAAACACAACAGCCTCACAGACAAACCTTCTGGGATGCAAATTATGACAATGTTGAGAGGCATTCTTACTACACCTGCAAGAAACAGACTGAGGTCTTGTATCAAGCACACAGAATTGGAGGAAAGTTACTTCATTAAAAGTTTCAGTGTGTCTCTGGAAGGAGGCTGACAGAAATAAATCCTCCTCAATTCTTAATATTTTATTTCAAAAAAGTTACACAATAGTTTATTTTGTTAAATCTCCAGGAATAGAAATCCAGTGTTGACATGAAGGTATCTATTTTAATTTATGAAAAGTAACATTCCTATTTCTCAGTCACAGTGAAAAGCTTGCAAGCATAACATTAAGCAGGCTCACAATTAGAAGGAATATAAAGAAACTCCCAAAGCCTTTTGGGGGCATGTGTTTTATTTTTTTTAATCTCACAATATTGTGTGCCCTAAAACAGCAATTGAGAAATGATGGAAACAAAGCTGTAGCTTCTGAAGATTGGCAGTTGCTCACAATACACTATGTAACTGTGCAACAAATTGTATTACTGAAAATAAGGCTGGGTTATGCTGCAGCATAGTTTACATAATTAATTAGGAAATGTCTTCCTCTTTCAATTATAACTAGCCTTCTGTAGCAGTTTAATGACCTAGGGCATTGTGTGGCTGGAGTTGCCATCTTTCCCTACAAAAACCAAGTAACTACTTGCCTCCATTAAGTATTTCACAATGCTTTCAGAGGAGGTGCAGTGTTCTGGCCATACTATAGAGAAACCATCTTCTACCCATTTACATTTCAGCTGGATGCAGTACAGCTACCTGCTACTCATACATCAGCAGATCAGAGCTGCTGAATGCTCTGGGACAGCATCTGCATATGCTCAAGGTCTGTTTCACCTCTGTAACTGCCACACTTACCAGCATCTTGACGGAGTAGATCGTTTGGAGGCAAACAATGTAATAGATCCTGGTCAGGGCACTTCACCATATGAATTGCCATAATTCTGCCTTTACAAATGAGTGTATTTTTATAAACCATAGAATATCTTTTAGTTATCCAATCTAATTTGATCCAGGGTGGCAATTAAGACTACAAAACACATGTGCATGTGGACATCAGCAAGCCCATCTCTCCAAAGGCCTCACAATAAACAGACTGTTCCAAAGAAAAATGACCAGCCTCTAGTCACAAAGCTAGAGAGGTAGCTGAGCGGATAGTATTTTGGAAACGTGCCAGGGACTGATCTCACACAGAGGAGAAATTTACTTCTATTAGCAAATACTAATGTTGTATACAGCTTCACATAATGAGAATAAAGACAATTTGATATTTATTTAGGAATTTCAAGAAAAAAAAAAAAAGTTATCTGTTTATTTGCAAAGCTGTGTCAGGAAAATAAAAGCATCACATTTAGCAATACTTTTTATCATTACCACAGAAAATGTCCAGGGATTGAATGGAAAATGGATACCAAACTATCTTCTGGCTTGGGGAATTTTCCCTGTGATTCCACATTGCAAAACACTGCAGGAAGTTTGTGCTGCCACTGCCCTAGCCGTGCTTTTTTCTGTTGATAGAAATGTACTTGTGGGTGTTACCCACCTAATAAAACTAAAGGTTTATAAAAATACTGGTTGCATTCTCTGGTGATTCACACCATCTGCAAATCTCAAAACTCCAAGTGTAAGTCAGCAAGGAGTTTGCCCCAGTTTAAACACATATTGAACAGATGAAATTGTGATGACAGCGTATGTTTCAGTACTGCTACAACTGCAATTATATTTATAAAATTTGTTTTTATTACCCACACTCTCTGTGCTCATCTCTCCAGATAAGAACAGCTTTGAATAATGAAATATTCACGTAAGATCGAATTTGAATTTTGTTTTCTTCCTATACTTATGCACCCAAACTGAAAATGTCACCTATTAACTGTAGGAATGAATTATAATTTATCATTTTTAGGGAATATACTATTTTTTTTAATCCCTGAGCTCTTACAGAAATACATTTATTTGAGAATGTGATGTTTCAGGGTGGCAGTGGAGTTGGTGTGGGTGTGAATTCAGTGACAGCAAAGAAGTTGGATATTATTGCTTATTGGCATCTCAGAAAAGTTAAGATAAAACAGAACTTGATGACAACCACACTAACCACATAACAGTAACACTTAACATATGTTTCCTTGCCACCACCCTGTCAATGTATCACAATCCCATCTTGAAGAAACTTTATTTAACCATTCATTTAAACATTTTTTCTGCCCCTCCACTCTCATACACAGTTTCCACAGCACCCATACCTGCAGTTCATAGGCTGTCTGCAAGTCAGCACATGGGCAGAAGGAGGACAGGTTTAGGAGCATACTGTGCTCCTAAACTTCATGCCTGACCACCTGTATGTACATATTTACTGTGTCTGGAAGATAGTGCTGAACATTTATCATGTTTGAACCATGTCAACGCAAGCTGGGTGAGTTACTTTGTTGGATTTTGTTGAGCAGAAGCAGCAGCTGACAAAATGGATGAGACAGCCAGCAAAAGGACCTGAAACGGAAGATAAGTCATTGCCTTGACATGGTGGAGTAAGGGGAGCCCATAGAGAGATGCAGAGAATGATGACATCAACAAAGTTACAGACTGAGAGAACAATTTTGTTACCCAATTTTTAAGATGATATGAAATGAATCTGAACAAGAAATTTAGCTATGTGGTTGGTGAACTTTTTTTCAAGATGGTTGCTTCTCTTCCCTCTTTCTCTTCTGGTTGAACTGATCTGGTTCATACTACCAAAGAACATAAACACAGCAAGGAAAACCCTTCTCCCTCTGTAAGGGTTCCTCTGAGTTGACAACTCCGCTGCGATCTCCAATGAGAGCAGTCATTTCAGCTTAAGTGGCTGTTGGTCATAATACTTTCAATATTCTTGTAATACCCTGTAATTACTAAGAAGTGTTAAATGTAAAATAATTGTATTACTGTTACAGTCTTTGATATGGCCCAGAGACCGTACATGACACATTAAGTAATGTAGCGGTGAGATTTAAACTGCTTTTTAAGTACTGTCTTCCTCCCCCTCAGCAGGACCACTTTTTGATAAATTCAGCACTCACAGCATCACAGATGACTGAAACCAGGTCTGCATCAACCTGACAATCTCCTTTTAAGAACACCATAAAGTGCTGACATTAGCCTAGAAGAAGAAAATTAGATCAAATTACTGGGGAAAAAAATCTGCCTGTGATACTAACAAATCCTGTTATACGATACTAAACTACATAAGAGCAATTTGGCCTACTTTGGCTCATCAGCACAAGAGAAGGATGGAATGCAGGTTGTGCTATGAAAGGAAATATATATATATATATATATATATATATTTTTAACTTGCCAGTGCTTGAGTGTATTGTTCATTACTTGTTTTTACTAAATGTTACTAAACATCTGATGGGCTGGGGATTTTAAGCCCCTGAAACCAAGAGCTGTCTGCTCAGAGGAAACTGTGTTCAGCTCTCATTTCATATAGTTTTATAATAAATCAATGTCTTCCTACAACATCTTGATTGCCACTGAGTTGCAGAGCACAACTTGCACAGCCTCTGAAGGCAGAAAAGACAGAACCTAACTTCTACTGCAAAAAACCCAGCCTGCTGTTGCACTCAATCATCTACCTGCACCCTCTCAAAAAAGGGCATCAAATAAAAACATGAAGGTACAGTGATGGGAAAACACCCAGAATGTTTATAAACTTTCTATAATTATTACTTAATAGAAAATTAACTTCATGGAAAGGATGCAGGCTCGCATTTAAGAATATGCACCTTTAGACTCTACCTGCATTTCTTTGTAACAGAAGAGTTATCAGTTGATTCTTAAAACACCTGGAACTGGGTAGACATGCAGGAAAAGAGTAGTTCCCAGAATCCCTTCACAAGTCACTTTCTGCCTTCAGAAGAGGGGACAAAGTACAATGTTACTTCTTGAGTCAATCTGGGAGAAATTAAATAGGCTAAACACAGAGGTCAATGCTACACCGAATCAGGCTGTACGCATCATGTATATGCTGACAGAAAGCTGAAATACAGTATGTGCTCTAGGTCTTGGGGTTAACTTTCAAACCCTTCAGAAAATCTCCAGATCAGTGTAACACTCTGCTTTTCACTTCTTAAAGAGGGAATTTTTATATTTTTACTTTGTACTTAATGAGTATGTATGGTGCTACTCACTGATGCTCTTAATGCTAGCACTCTTTACCCAGTTTTAGATCTATACTTAACACAGCTCATGAGGTTTTCTGGCAAGCCTCAGAGCTGCTTCACGTTCAAGTTCACACATTCAATTTATGACCCACTGAAAGAGCACGAAGTTATTCATTAAGGTTACAATTGTAACTATAGTAAATTCAGTATTTCAACGAGCTAAATACTACGGTGTGTTGATTATAAAATGCTGGAGCTGTGCAATATTACAAGTTTACAAAGCTGTTCTCATTCATGCCCCCATGACTCTCTCTTTGGGTGTAAAAAGATCTCCAATAAAATAGTAGTTCTTCATAAAACAAACTACTTCAATTTACTGGGGATCCAAAATGTGTTACAGATGCATTAACATTTACTTGCTCAGGAGCCTGGGGGGCGTACAGCTGCTCCGTAATCAATAGTATCAGCACTACGTAAACAGTTCAGAGAGGGAAATGAAGAAATGCATATTGAAACTGCAGTACTGGAGGATTTAAGGAAGCAGAAAGTAAAACTTCAGGTACATTTTGAACAACACATGGAAGTCAGAAAACATACAAACTTTCAAGGAAGCATTTTAAGTCTATTTTAGCCTCCCTACCAATGATGCTGCACACTAGCATTTTGTAACTACCACAAGCAATCCGATCCTCATTTACTGTAAGAGGAGGATTAGGTGCACACATCAGAGTTTTCAAAGTAATGTATTTTAAGTTAGAAGAAAAGTATTTCTAACATTTCCAATAACCGATTCTGAAACAATTTCCAGATTTAAGACAAAAAGCAAAATTTTGTTCCAACACTACACTTTGCTTTGGAATTTATTTTGGCTTTAGACAAGTCAGATTATAGACATAGTTTAATATTTTATTGTATTTATTTTAAAGAAAACACACTTCTTAGTAGAGATTGAAACATTTCCTCTTACTTTCTAGATCAAAATATCTCTTTTTTGTCCTATAATTAAACAATAATGCCAGTAAATGTTATTAATTTATTGTCACTTTTGTCAAAACAGAATCCAGGAAAGAGAACTGGAGGGGACTTCCTGGGCTGCCAGCTTCAGCCCCCAATTTCTGCAGACACCACATCAGTGGTAAATACACCAAGCTTATTTTTAAATCAGGGAGAAGGTATATGATTTCCCTTTTCACTGCTCCATTAGAAAGACAGCACAAACCCGGGAGTTTTGTTAGGGAGACTTCTCCTAACTTCTAAATTTGTTCAGAGATAACACAAACCATGTATTACATTACCAAGACTGTTTCATTACAACAGCTACTTAGTAAAATGAGAAAGTTCTATTCTGTAGGAAATTGCATCAAAATTGGCACAACTCCAAATCCATTTGTCTTCAATTCCATCCCAGCTCATGCTTACTGACATTCATACAAACTCACACAGACACACACAAATCTTATGCATTAGAGCCCTTGTATATGAATTAATAACAGAGCTAAATGATGCTGGCACTAATTCATTACTTGATTTTTTTTCTTAAAACAGTGGATTAACTCTTGGGTGTCTGGAGCTTTTTTATACTGACACCTGCCAATACAAACTAGATCTAACCAATCCCTTTTTAAAAAAAAAACAAAAAACAAAAAACCTTTTTCTTGCCAAATTTCTTTGCAAGCCTTTATACATAAGTTACATGTATCAAATTATCCCTGCATTATTAGCTCCTCACTTCCAACAGCAAGGAGAAGGAAGATCCTTATGAACATGAGAAAAGGGCCACGGATAATGTGATAGCACAATA